TAATTGGCTGATTAATCATTAGTTGAGTTGGGTACATATTTAATATTTTGATGGAGTTGGCTACCTTGTAGAACCAATATACATAATCAGATTTCGTTCTTCTTCTATAGACCTCAGGTGAGTGCAGCATATTAGAAAGTTTAGCTTGAAACTTCATGTGTTGTCTAGATCTACTCAATGCCTTCACGCCGAAAACTGTGCTAATAGACAAAATTCTCTCACTTATGGTAGGTAATTTTAATTCTCTGCTCTCTGCTCTCATATTAACTATTCTCGTGGATTTTGGAGCCCCAAGGATGAGACGCATAGCTTCATTTTGCAAGGTTTCAAGAGATTTCAGCTCTTTGTCAGTATACAGTGTGAGATGTAGAGCATTGTAGTCAATCACAGAGAGTATAAATGATACATAAAACATTCTAGCAAGTCTCACGTTAAGCCCATGATTGACACCAACAAGGACCCGCAAGGGCTTTAATCTCTCCCAAAGTCTCCTCTTGAGAGAAGAAAGGTACCCAGGGTCGTTAATGGGGACACCAAGGTATCTGTAAGACTCGCAGTTCTCAAGTGCTCGCCCATCTATATGATAACTGGCTGGTGGAATACGACATGGAATGAGGGCAGGAGTTTTCTGTACAGAGATAAGGAGGCCACATTCCTCAGCTCTAGTAGCAAAAGCGTCGAGCAGAACTGACATTCTAGGCTCGGTGGCAGCCTGTAAACATATATCATCAGCATAACAGATGACAGTGTCTTCATTATTAGTTAGAAGATCTTTAATAAGTTTATGCATCAGAACGTTGAACAACAAGGGGCTGAGTACTGTAGTCTACCATCATAGCATACTGTAGTCGAGCATCATAGCATAACAGTAGTCCATCAACATATCATAATTGTAGTCCAGCATCATAGCATAACTGAAATCCAGCGTCATAACATAGCTATAGTCCAGCATCATTGCATAACCGTAGCCCCAGCATCATAGCATACCTCGTGACTAGCATCATAGCATAACTTTAGTCCAGCATTATAGCATAACTGTAGTCCAGCATCATAACATAAATGTAGTCCAGCATCATATCATAATTGTAGTCCAGCAACATAGCATAGCAAAGTCCAGAATCATAACATCTCTGAAGTCCAGCATTATAACATAATTGTAATCCATTATCATGGCAATCCTGTAGTGCAGAATCATAACATAACTTAGTCCTGCGACATAGCATAATTGTAGACCAGCGTCATATAATAACTCTAGTCCAGCATTATAGCATAACTGTAGTCTAGCATCATAGCATAGCTGTAGTTCAGTATCATAACATAACTCTAGTCCAACATTATTGCATAGCTGTAGTACAGCATAATTGCATAGCTGTAGTACAGCATAATTGCATAGCTGTAGTCCTGCATCATAGCATAGCTATTGTCCAGCATCATAGCATAAATGTAGTCCAACATCATAGCTGGACTGGACTACCTGTCGACCAGCATCATAGCATAACTGTAGTCCGTCAACATATCATAATTGTAGTCCAGCGTCCTTGCATAACTGAAGTCTAGCATCATAGCATTCCTGCAGTCCAGTACGTTATATTACCTGTAGTTCAGCATCATAGCTTAGCTGTAGTAGCGCATCATACGATACCTGTAGTCAAACATCATAGCTGTTCTAAAACATCATATCACAGCTGTAATCTAGCATCATAGAATAGATGTTGTCCAGCATCACGGCATAGTTGTAGTTCAGCATCATTACATAACTGTAGTACATCAGATCATAACTGAAGTCCAGCATCATTGTTTAGCTGCATTCGGACATCATAGCATACCTGTAGTCGAGCATCATAGCATAACACTTCCAGCATCATAGCATAGCTTTAGTCCATAATCATAGCATACCTGTAATCCAGCATTATTGCATAGCTGTAGTCCAGCTTCATTGCGTACTTCTAGTCGAGCATCATAGCATAACTGTAGTCCAGCATCATAGAATAGCTTTAGTCCAGCATCATAGTATAATTGAAGTCCAACATCATAGCATAACTATACCTGGTTGATGGGGTTCTGGGAGTTCTTCTACTCCCCAAGCCCGGCCCGAGGCCAGGCTTGACTTGTGAGAGTTTGGTCCACCAGGCTGTTGCTTGGAGCGGCCCGCAGGCCCACATACCCACCACAGCCCGGTTGGTCCGGCACTCCTTGGAGGAAACTATCTAGTCACGACAATATTTCTTATGCTCGCTGGGAGGACGTTGAACAACCGCGGACCTCTGATGTTCATACAGTGTTCTCTGATTGTGCCTATGGCACCTCTGCTCTTCACTGGTTCTATTCTGCATTTTCTTCCATGCAGAATATAGTCCAGCATCATTCCATAGGGGTCGTCCAGCATCATAACATTGCTGCAGTCCAGCATCATAGCTTAGCTGTAGTCCAGCATCAAAACATAACTGTAGTTCAGCATCATAGCATAGCTGTAGTCAAGCAACATAGCATAGTTGTAGTCCAGCATCATAGCATACCTGTAGTTCAGCATCATAGCATAACTGTAGCCTAGCATCATAGCATACCTCTTGACTAGCATCATAGCATAATTGTAGTGCAGCATCATAGCATAACTGTAGTCCAGCATCATCAGTGCATAACTATAGTCCAGCATCATAGCATAGCTGTTGTTCAGCATCATAGCATAGCTGATGTTCACCATCATAGCATAACTGTAGTCCAGCATCACTACATAGCTGTAGTCCAGCATTATAGCATAGCTGTGGGCGAGCATCATAGCATAGCTCTAGTCGAGCATCGTAGCGTAACTGCAGTCCAGCAAAATAGCATAATTGTAGTCTATCATCATAGCAAACCTGAAGTTCAGCATTATTGCATAGCTGTAGAACAGCATCATAGCATAACTGCAGTCCAGCATCGTAATATACCTGTAGTCGAGCATCATAGCAGAGCTGAAGTCTAGCTTCATCACATAACTGTAATCCACTATCTTAGCATTCCTATAGTCAATATAGGAATCATAGCATAACTGTAGTCCTGCGACATAGCATAATTGTAGTCCAGCATCATAGAATAGCTCTAGTCCAGCACCATAGAATAACTGTAGTTCAACATCATAGCATATCTGCAGTCCAACAACATAGCGAAACTGTAGTCTAACATCTATATAAATATAAATTTAGTAAAGGAGTAAAAAGCATTACTCCTAACCAAAACATAAACCTGATCATATTCTACAAAACCAAGAAGACTTCCGAACTCCTTATCAAAAACAGGCCGAAGCCGACGGAGAACCCTCTACAGCAGTCAAGCGTTGTATACATGTACACTTGCCCCCACGAAGGATGTAACCTTCAATCTAAGTACATAGGTATGACGTCGACCAAGCTGACGAGGCGTTTGACCTGTCATCTTCAATCCGGTGCTCCCAGGAATCACATGAGACAAGCCCATGACATCACCCTAACAAAAGAAATGTTGAACAAAAATACCTGTATAATAGACAAAACCCAAGATGCAAGAAGATTACAAATTCTTGAAGCAATTCACATAAGAATAGAACAACCTACCATGAACACCCAAATCACGGAACTTTTTACTCTACCCACCATGAGAGTAAGGACAAGACCAGAACATAACGATGCCAACACAGAAGACACTGTTCAACATAACAGGCCAATTACACTGGATTAATCTTTGTATTTAGATAGGAGCTGCCTCGTATGGGCCAATAAGCCTTCTGCAGTTACCTCTATTCTTACGTTCTTATGTTTTACCCCCCATTTTTCCCTTATGTATCCCCCCCCCATGTTTTCACCTTTGTCTTATCACCTGACCCAGTGCGGGTATAAAATCAACCAGTCCTGAAAATTCTTTTCACTTGAGAATGAACCATGGAGGTTCGAAACGTTGTGCAAATTGTATAAATAAGTGTAATACATTCTATAGTAATTCACTTCTTTTCTTCACCTTGAAATTACGAAAAGGAGTTTTGGAGAACTCCTATTTCAGCTAAGCCCTGATGCTAAGAAAATAGAGGGATTGAAGCCCTAAATCAGAAGATAGTAAATACAGAATATGCGATCATATTCAATGAGACATGTTTGAAAGAAAACCTGCTGCCAGTATACACCAATAAAAATAAATGGCAATGGTCGTTTGTGCATAACCGCTAATCTCCGAAAGTTCTTCACCGATTGCTTTGAAATTTTCACACAACGTTCCATTCACATCCGAACAGGTGTTTATATACATACTATATAGATGTCACGTCTGTAACGGTAAAAAAAAACATGCTTTTTCTGAAAAACTGTGTTTTTCATGTGTGTTTGATTTGAGGGAATTCTTCGAAACCTCTTTACCGATTGCTTTGAAATTTTGACACAACGTTCCATTCCAATAGGCGCATCTTAATATATATCTACTAAATACATGCCTCACTTGTGACAGGAAAAATCATGCTTTATTTTGAAAAACAGCGCCATCTGTTAGACGTAAGAGCAGCACACGCTGTAATCTCCGGAAGCTGTAGTCCAGCATCATAGCATAACTGTAGTCCAGCATCATAGCATAACTGTAGTCCAGCATCATAGCATAACTAGTCCAGTATCATACCAAAGCAGTCGTTCTTCATCATAGCTTAGCTGTAGTCCAGCATCATAGCATAACTGTAGTCCAGCATCATACCAAAGCGGTCGTTCTTCATCATAGCATAACTGTAGTCCAGCATCATAGCATAACTGTAGTCCAGCATCATAGCATAGCTGTAGTCCAGTATCATAGAAAACTGTAGTCCAGCGTCATTGCATAACTGTCATCTAGCATCATAGCATACCTGTAGTCCAGTATCATAGATTACATGTAGAACAGCAACATAGCATAGCTGTAGTCCAGTATCATAGATTACATATAGTACAGCAACATAGCATAGCTGTAGTCATAAAAAAATAAGAATTGTAACATTTAAAAGACCATTACTAACTCTCCGTAATGTGTTACAGTATTACCTGGAGCTGGATGACCCTTACCAAGCAGAGAACACAGAGAGCAGTTTCCTGAGCATGCTGCAGAGTCCTCATTATTCCTCAAAAGTGCGTGATGTAAGTCCAAATATTGATGATGAAGGATATGAGATGCCATTCAGTCCAAGTCCATTTCAAGATGTTTTGATAGATGGTGAGACCCACAATGATCAGCGTGTTCACACTCCACGTCTAACATCTTTACAAATTGATTTACTTCAGCAGGAGGCTGGAATGACTAGTACAAGCTCAGCTGGACCATATCTTGATATGTCCTCACCCGCCAGAAAGTATCAAAATAGTTTTAGCTTTGACCAAGAAACTGTGACATCTCCGTCAGATCAGAAGAGCGAGACACTATCCGAGAACTGTGATGAAGAAACAGATAGAGCTGATGGTGATCTCTACCTCCCGATGGCTCCTGGATCACCATCAAGTGAGTTATAGAAACCAATAAAATTCTCCAGCAATTATCAAGATTGGAGATGTTCCAAAATTTCAGAGATTTCCAGATAGACAAGATCTTGGCAATCCTGTTTCGCCTCATCGCGAACTGGTTCATAGAACGTCATAAGTGGAGGAGCATGACGGCGGCCTGTACAGCCCCAGAACATGCACGTAAACAAGCCCCAGTTACATAGTTACATGACTACAAGCAACTTTCTTAAATCTAAATAAAACTCTCGTCTAGCGACATAGCATAATTGTAGTCCATCATCATAGAATAGCTCTAGTCCAGCATCTTAGTATAACTGAAGTCCAACGTCATAGCATAACTATAGTCCAGCATCATTCCATACGGGTCATTACCTACCATTACCTTATTAAACAGGCTGCGAAAAAAAATTAAAAAACTTTCAATTGGAACAGCTTTTGACGATGAAAGCCACGACCCACGAAAAGAGATTAAAGAAACCAAGCATGCAGGCGGTTATTCTAATTTTGTTCAAGAAAGCAGTCAGAACTGTACAAGAAGTTTCTATTGGATTACTTTCCAAACCTGAACAAGAGTTCACCAGAGAGCAAAGCTAAGACTTATTCCTTCACATATTATGGGATGAACAATGCCATAACCGAGGAACCAACAGCAGCATAAGCTCCTATATTGACGAACAACACAATGTGTTCATAATATTCAATTATAGAATGTTTAAATAAATATATTAATACCTCTAGATTTAAAGTACGTGAATCATTTAATAAAACAACAAGTTTAACAAAAATCTAAATTCCTGTTACATATTTGTGAGTGAGTGTGAGGCACAAAAATTTTTGTACATGGCAGAATGAATTTGGTATCTATTTTGTGTTTTGTATTTTAACTTGTATTAAGTCATATGTAACTAGATAATGCAGTGCACCAGTACACATTACCAGATAATGCAGTGCACCAGTACACATTACCAGATAATGCAGTGCACCAGTACACATAACCAGATAATGCAGTGCTCCAGTACACATTACCAGATAATGCAGTGCTCCAGTACACTACATTACCAGATAATGCAGTGCACCAGTACACTACATTACCAGATAATGCAGTGCACCAGTACACTACATTACCAGAGAATGCAGTGCACCAGTACACTACATTACCAGATAATGCAGTGCACCAGTACACATTACCAGATAATGCAGTGCACCAGTACACTACATTATCAGATAATGCGGTGCTCCAGTACACATTACCAGATAATGCAGTGCACCAGTACACTACATTACCAGATAATGCAGTGCACCAGTACACATTACCAGATAATGCAGTGCACCAGTACACTACATTACCAGATAATGCAGTGCTCCAGTACACTACATTACCAGATAATGCAGTGCTCCAGTACACATTACCAGATAATGCAGTGCTCCAGTACACTACATTACCAGATAATGCAGTGCACCAGTACACTACATTACCAGATAATGCAGTGCACCAGTACACTACATTACCAGATAATGCAGTGTTCCAGTACACTACATTACCAGATAATGCAGTGCACCAGTACACTACATTACCAGATAATGCAGTGCACCAGTACACTACATTACCAGATAATGCAGTGCACCAGTACACTACATTACCAGATAATGCAGTGTTCCAGTACACTACATTACCAGATAATGCAGTGCACCAGTACACTACATTACCAGATAATGCAGTGTTCCAGTACACTACATTACCAGATAATGCAGTGCACCAGTACACTACATTACCAGATAATGCAGTGCACCAGTACACTACATTACCAGATAATGCAGTGTTCCAGTACACTACATTACCAGATAATGCAGTGCTCCAGTACACTACATTACCAGATAATGCAGTGCTCCAGTACACTACATTACCAGATAATGCAGTGCTCCAGTACACTACATTACCAGATAATGCAGTGCACCAGTACACATTACCAGATAATACAGTGCTCCAGTACACTACATTACCAGATAATGCAGTGCTCCAGTACACTACATTACCAGATAATGCAGTGCACCAGTACACATTACCAGATAATGCAGTGCTCCAGTACACTACATTACCAGATAATGCAGTGCTCCAGTACACTACATTACCAGATAATGCAGTGCTCCAGTACACTACATTACCAGATAATGCAGTGCTCCAGTACACTACATTACCAGATAATGCAGTGCTCCAGTACACTACATTACCAGATAATGCAGTGCTCCAGTACACTACATTACCAGATAATACAGTGCACCAGTACACATTACCAGATAATACAGTGCACCAGTACACATTACCAGATAATGCAGTGCACCAGTACACATTACCAGATAATGCAGTGCTCCAGTACACAACATTACCAGATAATGCAGTGCACCAGTACACTACATTACCAGATAATGCAGTGCACCAGTACACATTACCAGATAATGCAGTGCTCCAGTACACTACATTACCAGATAATGCAGTGCACCAGTACACATTAGCAGATAATGCAGTGCACCAGTACACTACATTACCAGATAATGCAGTGCACCAGTACACATTACCAGATAATGCAGTGCTCCAGTACACATTACCAGATAATACAGTGCACCAGTACACATTACCAGATAATGCAGTGCACCAGTACACATTACCAGATAATGCAGTGCTCCAGTACACATTACCAGATAATACAGTGCACCAGTACACATTACCAGATAATGCAGTGCACCAGTACACATTACCAGATAATGCAGTGCACCAGTACACTACATTACCAGATAATGCAGTGCACCAGTACACATTACCAGATAATGCAGTGCTCCAGTACACATTACCAGATAATGCAGTGCACCAGTACACTACATTACCAGATAATACAGTGCACCAGTACACATTACCAGATAATGCAGTGCTCCAGTACACTACATTACCAGATAATGCAGTGTTCCAGTACACATTACCAGATAATGCAGTGCACCAGTACACTACATTACCAGATAATGCAGTGCTCCAGTACACTACATTACCAGATAATGCAGTGCTCCAGTACACTACATTACCAGATAATGCAGTGCTCCAGTACACATTACCAGATAATGCAGTGCACCAGTACACTACATTACCAGATAATACAGTGCACCAGTACACATTACCAGATAATGCAGTGCTCCAGTACACTACATTACCAGATAATGCAGTGTTCCAGTACACATTACCAGATAATGCAGTGCACCAGTACACTACATTACCAGATAATGCAGTGTTCCAGTACACATTACCAGATAATGCAGTGCACCAGTACACTACATTACCAGATAATGCAGTGCACCAGTACACATTACCAGATAATGCAGTGCTCCAGTACACTACATTACCAGATAATGCAGTGCACCAGTACACTACATTACCAGATAATGCAGTGCACCAGTACACTACATTACCAGATAATGCAGTGCTCCAGTACACTACATTAGCAGATAATACAGTGCACCAGTACACTACATTACCAGATAATGCAGTGCACCAGTACACATTACCAGATAATGCAGTGCACCAGTACACTACATTACCAGATAATGCAGTGCACCAGTACACATTAGCAGATAATGCAGTGCACCAGTACACTACATTACCAGATAATACAGTGCTCCAGTACACTACATTACCATATAATGCAGTGCACCAGTACACATTACCAGATAATGCAGTGCTCCAGTACACTACATTAACAGATAATGCAGTGCTCCAGTACACATCTTGTCGCGTGTGTTACAGTTATGTAATTATACAGTTAAGTAATACTCTATTGCTGTATTCTGTTGTATGAGTCAGTGGTGTGTGGGTGTACAATTGGACCCGTATTAGAGAGAGGAACTTTACACACGCTGCTGAGAGCATCAATGTTACCAGTTTTCTATTCCATTACCTATTGTTTTCCTTATGAGTAGCGTAATACTTTGAGTTGCTATTCCAGAATGGATAGATATTATATACTTGTGTTTAGAAGCGTTTTGAGAGTGATAGTATCAATAGGGTGACTGGTTGTGACTCTTGTCAGTTAGGGAGAGAGGCCTAGGGTGACTGGTTGTGACTCTTGTCAGTTAGGGAGAGAGGCCTAGGGTGACTGGTTGTGACTCTTGTCAGTTAGGGAGAGAGGCCTAGGGTGACTGGTTGTGACTCTTGTCAGTTAGGGAGAGAGGCCTAGGGTGACTGGTTGTGACTCTTGTCAGTTAGGGAGAGGGGTCTAGGGTGACTGGTTGTGACTCTTGTCAGTTAGGGAGAGAGGCCTAGGGTGACTGGTTGTGACTCTTGTCAGTTAGGGAGAGGGGTCTAGGGTGACTGGTTGTGACTCTTGTCAGTTAGGGAGAGAGGTCTAGGGTGACTGGTTGTGACTCTTGTCAGTTAGGGAGAGAGGCCTAGGGTGACTGGTTGTGACTCTTGTCAGTTAGGGAGAGAGGTCTAGGGTGACTGGTTGTGACTCTTGTCAGTTAGGGAGAGAGGCCTAGGGTGACTGGTTGTGACTCTTGTCAGTTAGGGAGAGAGGCCTAGGGTGACTGGTTGTGACTCTTGTCAGTTAGGGAGAGAGGCCTAGGGTGACTGGTTGTGACTCTTGTCAGTTAGGGAGAGGGGTCTAGGGTGACTGGTTGTGACTCTTGTCAGTTAGGGAGAGAGGTCTAGGGTGACTGGTTGTGACTCTTGTCAGTTAGGGAGAGAGGCCTAGGGTGACTGGTTGTGACTCTTGTCAGTTAGGGAGAGAGGTCTAGGGTGACTGGTTGTGACTCTTGTCAGTTAGGGAGAGAGGCCTAGGGTGACTGGTTGTGACTCTTGTCAGTTAGGGAGAGAGGCCTAGGGTGACTGGTTGTGACTCTTGTCAGTTAGGGAGAGAGGCCTAGGGTGACTGGTTGTGACTCTTGTCAGTTAGGGAGAGAGGCCTAGGGTGACTGGTTGTGACTCTTGTCAGTTAGGGAGAGAGGCCTAGGGTGACTGGTTGTGACTTGTCAGTTAGGGAGAGAGGTCTAGGGTGACTGGTTGTGACTCTTGTCAGTTAGGGAGAGAGGCCTAGGGTGACTGGATGTGACTCTTGTCAGTTAGGGAGAGAGGCCTAGGGTGACTGGTTGTGACTCTTGTCAGTTAGGGAGAGAGGCCTAGGGTGACTGGTTGTGACTCTTGTCAGTTAGGGAGAGAGGTCTAGGGTGACTGGTTGTGACTCTTGTCAGTTAGGTAGAGGGGCTTAGGGTGACTCTTTTCAGTTAGGGAGAGAGGCCTAGGGTGACTGGACTCTTTAACTCTTTGAGTTAAGTAGATCGTGATTTGTGTCTGGTAATGCACGTTCATGGAATGTTAAACCATTTCCCTTTATACATTGTGTCAGTGGTCATCAGCTTATATCTTTAATTACCTATAGTTAAGTGTGTAATCTATCATATTTCTTGTATCTATTATATAGTGTTCTCATTTTACCCACAGTTCTTCTACTTTATGATACCTAGATTATTATTGATGTTGATAGGCTATTGTGAATTTGATTAACTGAGACGGGAGAACAAGCTCTATTCAGAGCCGTAGCGCTAACAAACTAGTCTACAACATTATCAGATAATGCAGTGAAATAGTACAAAACCTTAGTAGTTAATGCAGAGCACAAGTACAAAACTTTGGTAGATAATGTAGAGCACAAGTACAAAACTTTGGTAGATAATGTAGAGCACAAGTACAAAACATTGGTAGATAATGTAGAGCACAAGTACAAAACATTGGTAGATAATGCAGAGCACAAGTACAAAACTTTGGTAGATAATGTAGAGCACAAGTACAAAACTTTGGTAGATAATGTAGAGCACAAGTACAAAACATTGGTAGATAATGTAGAGCACAAGTACAAAACTTTGGTAGATAATGTAGAGCACAAGTACAAAACTTTGGTAGATAATGTAGGGCACAAGTACAAAACATTGGTAGTTAATGCAGAGCACAAGTACAAAACTTTGGTAGATAATGTAGAGCACAAGTACAAAACTTTGGTAGATAATGTAGAGCA